ACCGGATTTACATTGAACCCTATGGGGAAATTTGCGTCGGGTTACGACCAACTCGGGATATACCCAGAGTCACGGAATGCATTAAGTTCGTATCCCGAGGTACCACTCTATAAGTATATTTATAAATTTCATTGCAGTCTGTTTATAGCATGGATTTCAAAATGGGTCTTAAGAAGCCAACTGTCTTGGAAGTCAACTCTTAATACAGGTAGTCCTTGTTTAGCGACCACAACTGGGACTGGCAACTTGGTTGTTAAGTGAAGCAGTCACTAAGTGAAACAGCAACTGTGCTTATGATCTTACTTCAGCTTTCTTTTGCTTTAAGTTGTAAATGCGAGGATTGTTTGTAAAGTTACTTTTTCACCATCATAACCATGAATGATCACTAAATGAGACAGTCACTAAACAAGAACTATCTGTAAAACATTCCTTTATAGCAGCAAAACTTATATTCCCGAATTGCTGGAAATGTTTTGATTTTTCTTGCTATCTATTGAATCAGCTTTCCTGAACTTACTATGCTTCAGATTTGTTGAACAGTATCTCCCATCATCCTCAGACAACAGACTGTTGATATGGTGGGTAGATATGATGTAAATTGTAGTTCAACTCCTTTGAAGGACACCAGATTTAGGAGGTATACTATAGTTACAGGATGAATTTAAAACAGGGTACACAATTTTTTCAAGGCCAGAGATATGTTTGGACAATATGAATGTTAAATTAACATGAGAGTCAATTAATTAAATACAGCTAATATTATTATAATACATCTAATTGTGTTTCTTTTCTGGTATCTTTAGAATAAGCCAGGGATTTCAAATCAGTTTGGAGGATGTTGATACATAGGATTGCTTACTCTACCAGAGGTACTTAAAACTATGCTATTTCAATTTCTGTCAGCCTTCCCAGGTAGATCAGACAGGAAACACAGCCAGATGAGCTAATTCTACTTTATTGTCAGGCTACATTAACAGAATCTTGCAAGTCTGAAAGTACAGGTAGTCCCTAGGTTAAGAATGCCTGGTTTAAGGACAACACGTAGTTAAGAATGGAGCCTATTGTAGGAAAATTCGAGTTAAATACACAATAGTTCAAGTTTACACAACACTACTTATATAGTATTATATAATAA